TTATTCTTATTGTTATGATTCAGGCTGGTGGCTTCTAGACGGAAGTTCGGTTGTTCCGGTCTTAGCAATGGACATAGCCGAGGGAGATAAAGTTTTAGATATGTGCGCGGCACCTGGAGGCAAAAGTCTTCTGGCGATTCAGACTCAATTACCTGGTTAGTGATAATAATAATAAAATTAGTAGTGATTACAAAAATAGTGACAACAATAACAATAAGCAAATTTTCAGCAATGGTGGTATGTAATGACCACAAACTAAGTCGTCTGGGTCAGTTACGACGAGCGCTATCGACATATATTCCATTGGATTCGAAAACAGCCGAGCACGTTATACTGAAGCGAAAAGATGCATCAAATACAAAGGAATGGGATGAGTTGGGTATTTATGATAAGGTGGGAATTACTACTGCTATTTGTGGTATTATCATTACTTGTTACCTATGTCATCAGTATTATTGTCGCTGTAATTCGTTATTTCTATTGTTGTCACTGCATTCGGATTTGCGTTATTATCAACATTATCAATGTAATTCTCGTCATTCCTTTGCAAAATTGTAAGATTGAACATTCGGTTCATTTCAAGGTTCTGTTGGATGCACCGTGCTCAACAGATCGACTCTCTGTGAATCACGATGAAGGAAATATGTTTTCGATTTCAATGACAACGCAGAGACTTAACTTACCGCAACTGCAAACTAAACTTTTGATGTGAGTTTTGAACTTGATTGCTTCACTTCAGTCGGTTATCTTGTGTTTGTTAAAGTAAAAACATTCTAATTATTACTGTTGTCCTATAGTAATGCGTTACGATCGGTTCGGTCAGGCGGTAGTGTGGTGTATTCAACATGCTCTCTGTCGCCGATACAAAATGAAGTGGTCGTCGAAAATGCGGTAGCGATTGCTAGGGAGCGATTCGGCATAGAGGTTGGACTGTTTTATATTATTACTTCTACATAAGTATACTTAATGCGTGTTATTTATATGTAATTTCTCTAAGCTTTCCTCCTTTAAAATTTCTTCCTTTAATGCATTAAGATTCCTTTAAAAAACGCGAAATTTGAACCTACTCTGTTGAAATGACAAGTGTGAAGGTATTGTTATATGTACGCGTTGGTATTATTAATTAATTATTTATTTATTTTCGCTTTTATGCATTACTATTATTGGAACTATAATTAAAAAGGAAAAATTTCAGGCTGTCGAACTAACTTTAGAGCAACTTCGAGGGCATTTGATCTCAACGAGTCTGTTTCGATTTTGTGAAAATATTCGAAGGGGTTTACTGGTAATTCCCTTTTTACCGTCGAATTTTGGCCCGATGTACGTTTGTAAGCTGAAAAGATTGTGATGATAATCAAATTGATTTGATGCGTTTGTCCATATTTGAACGGTAATAGTAGTAATAAATGTTATAGTTTTCAATATCACAGAAGATCTACCATTCATTATTGTTCTTATTACATCGTTAATGATAATACTGCTGATAATATTATAATTAAACTGTTATTATGTTGAAAGATTCGTTATAAAATGATATCGTTATTGTTGGTAATATTATTACAATCACCGTATTGTTATGATTATTACTCGTTGTCATTATTTTTGTGATTATTATTAATGATAATAGCATTATTACT